CTGTGATGCCACAGTCATGATACCAGTCTCCTTAAACTTTTCTCTGACGACAATGTGTTCTCTGTTTTTCAGACGCCATAGCGTCAGGTGAAAGCGTCCGCCTAGCACCCTCACTACGCAGTCAGAAAGGTGCTATCTGGACGAAGACTCCGACCACCTTCGACTGGTGGGAGGTAGACATTATGTTCAAGGTCACAGGGAGAGGCAGAATTGGCGCTGATGGATTGGTAAGTGCGTCACATTTTTTGCATTTTGCACCTTTTGATTTGATTGTTCTAAGGTTTGAATCATCTAGGAATGCGTAAACTTTGGAAACAAGGTTATGAGTGGTTCTTTATAATAATAATAATAATAATAATAATAACACACACACTCAACATAGCCCCGCACTAGGGAAACCCTGTGTCGCGGGTGCCATGGACACACATATAGACAACCACGAATTACACCCAAACTCACGAGAGAAACAAATGTAGGTCATACAAATATTTCTCCCGGCCCGGGAATCGAACCTGGGACCTCTGTGTGGCAGTCCGGCATGGTAACCGTTAGGCCACAGAGGCAGTTATTTTATGATGTCATGTCGAGTTTTGTAGTTCTTCTGAGGGTTTCCTGGCGAATCGTGTTTGTTTGTCATTAGCAAACCATAAGGAAAGGTACCAACCTTTCAGGGGAATTCATGCATCTTCGAAAAATTACAAGAATCATCTCCGAACGACATCTCTCGTCAGCCTCTGGTAGCTGTAAAGGTACCTGGCTGAGTGCAGAAACTTTCGTCAAGTTTTTTATCCATTTATTTCATACAATTACAGTATATTACCAAGGCACTGTGAAATTCATATAATTCATTTTCACATAGCATGGGTATGGTCGCGCGCAGTGTCAGTGCCCCTCAGGTCTTTGTGCCATTCCTCTACTGGATGTTGGCCGACAATACGGCAAATGTGTCCCTGTCCATGGCCAAAAAAAAAGTTGTTTGGCGCTCGTGACTCCGGTCCAGTCCCTTATGTTGCGTAACCAGGACTTTGTCCCTTGTTTTTGTTTGACGCCAATACTCTTTAATGAAGTACCTTTGAAGCGTGTTGCACAGTTCAGGTATCTGGGTCATATTGTGACAGAGGACCACAAGGATGAAGGAGCGCAGGGCACGGGCGGTACGCGGCAATATGTTGACCCATAGATTCACAGTGTACGACTCGAGTGAAGCTAACGCTCTTCAGAGCGTACTGCTAGAGCTTTTACACGTGTGCTCTATGGTCCAATTTTACACTATGATCGTACAGTGCCTTGCGAGTCCAATATAATAACACCTTCAGAGCCCTGTTGAGGCTCCCCCGTTTCTGCTGTGCATCTGGAATGTTCGCAGATGCTGCTGTGGACGAGTGAGGGGTAGCAGCATCGAGAGCCTGAAGATGATAACGAACAGTATGAATGCAGCACTGTTCCGGAGGTTCACTGAGTTACATGTTTTACGCGTGTGTCGGTGAGCCGCCGGGGGGCTGGATTCATTCTGTATGGTGTACTTGTAATAATAATAATATGTGATTTTTATTTATTTAAATTTGTCAGGCTGTGGTGTGATTGTGCCATACCAGAGAACAAAAAAGTAAAACCACACTAATCCTAGTAGGTACTAACATAATTATAAGGTATGTTACTAACTTGTATGGACTCTGTTGTCCGAAAATAAATTATTTTTATTTATTTATTATTTGTCTTTTACCTTCAATATTTCCCATCATTATAAGTTGAATCAGACGGTATCTATTACTACGGTTAGTTAAATATGGCCCGTAAAAATGTTTTTCAGGCGTTCTGGTACACGACGTCGAAAGGCGATTACACGGGCGAAGTGTTCGGCTCATCAGACCGATGGAACGGCCTGGCGGTGATCTTCGACTCCTTCGACAACGATAATAAGCACAACAATCCTTACATAATGGCGGTACTCAACGACGGGACCAAGGTCTTCGACCACAAGAGGTGAGATTATGGCGCGCATATCCATATATGCTGGAGAATACATTATAAATAATAACATATAAAACTCCGTACCGGGTTATTCTTTTTTGTTGGGAAAGAGGGTACCTCGGCATAGGTTACATTTAAATTTGAAGAAAATATTACACCTCTAAGGGTGGCAAACTAGGGGATGAATCCGATTTCGCATATTATCCGATCAAACATAATACAAGTCATACAATCTGCACGTTAGTTAAAGCCTAGCATTTGTGCTCCAGTGACGGCGCAACCCAGCTGCTGACCGGGTGCCTGCGCGACTTCCGGAACAAGCCGTTCCCCACACGTGCACGTATCGAGTACTACATGAATACGCTCACCGTTTACTTCCATAATGGTGAGTCACATTTAGTGTTGGGTCATGGAAAAAATTCCATTTTGAAAAAATCATATTTTTCCGGATATTTTTCCTTTCATTTTCCACATTTGACGTTGACAGTTGTCAAAAGTTGAAGTTATTGAACGAAAACGATAGAGCCATTAAACAGACTTTTTTCGCAGTTGTGAAATAATTCTAAATCTCTTTTTCTTCGTAGTCACTTTTTTGTTTTATATTCACGCTAAATCATATTTTTCAAATTTTCCGTAATTTTTTTTGTATTTTTTATACCACAAAAACTTATAACTAATTACAATCTAGCCATTTTACAAGACTAATAAGCAATTTTAATGTAACATGATTTCCTAATTGACGACTCATTTACATAGGATCCACTAAAACTAACACCATTTCTAACCGTTTATAGTATTTTTTTCTTATTCATTCCGGAAACTTATAGTGTGCCTCACGTATTCCATAGCATTTAAGTTTTATTTGAAAAGAGCAATTCCTAGAGTTTCTTGCTCGTTCTTCTCAGGGAGGTCAGCGCTTACTTAAAAAATGACGTTTTCAAGTGCAAAAATTTTACCTATGGAATAAATGATTATTTGACCTCAGGCATGACAAACAGCGAAGCGAACTACGAGCTCTGTTTCCGCGCGGAGAACGTCGCCCTTCCACGCTACGGGCACTTCGGAGTGTCGGCGGCCACCGGCGGCCTCGCCGATGACCACGACGTCATACACTTCTTGACCACTAGCATTCATAGCACCGCACAACAAGGTATGTCGCTTTTTTCTTTTTTAAAAATAAGTGCGCATTTTATCTCCATCTCACCTACATACACACCTAAATAATGCGTATTCGCTCTCGCCTTGAAAAGGTCCAAGTTATAGAGTTCCGGGAACAAGTTCGCAGGTAGGGAATTCCACTCCCTAGCCGCTCGCTGGAAAGGCGCAATCAAATTATGCAATCCATCGCACACTCTCCGTAATATAACCATATATAGAATACCGATAAGCAGGGAACTTTACGGCGGTGTTCAAGGCTCTGCAGCTTCGCCTCCGTTGATTCCGAGTCACCTATAAGCCTCTTGGCATGGTATGTAGCAGAGTCATCCCATAGGTGGCAGCAGTACTCCGTACACGACCGCACTGTTCTTGGTACAGCTGAAGCAATTGTCCCGGTCGGTGTGAAGTAACGCCTCACACTGGAAAGGATGCCAAGCTTACTGGTTGCATTTTTGGCCATGGATTCAATGTGTCTGCCGAAGTTCAGATTGGACAACAGGTTCATTTCAAGTCCTGGGGCGTAAGGGATTTATACTATAACTGCCTCCGTGGCCGAACAGTTACCATGCCGGACTGCCACGCAGAGGTCCCAGGTTCGATTTCCGGGTCGGGAGAAATATTTGTATGGCCTACATTTATTTCTCTCGTGAGTTTGGGTGTAATTTGTGGTTGTCTATGTGTGTGTCCATGGCACCCGCGACACAGGGTTTCCCTAGTGCGGGGCCATGTTGAGTGTGTGTTATTATTATTATTATACCGGTGACGTTTGCTACTTTTTTATAGTATATAAAAAAGTGTGTGACGAGACGAACAAGTCGTGCGCCTGGTGGTAAGCGACACGCCTGTTCGTAACAGTTGCACTGCCGCTCAGAGCTTTAAATCGCAAAGACCACTGGGGTATTGCTACTTCACACACGTCGCCGTCGTAATTTCACTAGTACCACTGATATCATAAAAAAATATAGAGCACTTCAGATTCAAGGTTAATTTGGTATCGTTTATTATTCTTCGCCGTTATACCTATCTTTTCAGCTACAGGCGGTCAGCAAATCAGCAGTGACGAGCAGCAGAAGCTTTCGGCTGAGTACCAGGAATACCAGAGGAAGCTGGACCAGCAAAAGGAAGAGTACAGGAAGGAGCATCCTGATGAGGTAGCTACATGTTGTTTTTCTATCTGAGACAAGGTTTTTGTTAGCCTGAGAATTGAGCGGAAAAATATTTCATAATTTATTAATGAAAATATGTATAGTCTATATTTATTCTCAATGGCGTGTCAGTGGTATTATTTTTTGGAACCTATAAATTAATGATGTAATAAATGTTTTTAGAAATTTTCTAAAATATCTGTTGGATTGCATTTGAATTATAGTTCTGTGTTCAATATAATACAAAACACTTCCAACGTCCGTACATCGTTCAGAATACGTAAGAAAAATAAAACTATAAAACATAACTTGGTTCAAAAATCTAATACACTAAAAATCTATCGACTTTACCTCATCCCTATGACAAATGTCAAATGCAATCGCATATACATCGCAAGTGTAGCGATGCGATCGTTTGCTTCGGTGCAGAAAGTCGCCATGTGTGACCACTCTAATACCCTGAGAATGTTGTTTTGGGCTCTTTTTGTAGTAGCGCCTATACCAATAAGCGTCTACTTTGAAGTCGTCATTAGTCTTATTTTCGGGAGTGAACTTTATTCACTTCCATGACAACTTATTTAGTAAGATCAACTAAAACCACCGCTATAATTACTATACTGAACCACTTAAAAATATAAATTTTTAATAACGTAATTATAATATATATCTAGCCAGGGCTGGTAGCTGTAAAGGTATCTAATTGGGTGACGAAATACTTACGATTTCTCATAGATGGCGCTACGGCTAAAAAGTCGTTGAAAAACCAAATACAAAGACACGACGCAAGCACATAGAAAAATTCTTGAGGTCCGCTGGTTCGTTCCGTGGCTTAGTTGGTATAGCGTCTGGCACGGTATGCTAGAAGACGTCGGTTCGAATCCGGCCGGATCGAAGGAGTATTTCTGATCTTTGTTAATAATTATAACAAACTAGTGGAGTAATTTCACATAAAAAAATAATTGAATATCAATTCAATAAAAATTAAACGTAATTATAACTTTTTTGTTTAAAAAAACCGAACTCAACAGATAGTGGAATTACATCTATTTGCTAAGTTTTATTGAAATCGGTTGTGTGCGAAAAGTGCGCGAAACCGGATTCATCCCCTAGTTTGCCACCCTTAGAGGCGGAATATTTTTTTTTATGAATTTCAAATAGGACCAATACTGGGTACCCTCTGTCCAACAAAAAAATAGAATGATCAAAATCGGTTCACAAATACAGTCGCGTAACACAAAAAATACAGTCGAATTGGGAACCTCCTCGTTTTTTAAAGTCGGTTAAAAAGGAATGTTCAACTTTACATATAACTAACTACACTAAATGGTTTTGGAAGTTAAACTGATAAACAAGTTATAAAGTTATATCAACTGTGTGGTAGTCATTTTAGTTAATCACGGTATCAGTATAGATAAAACTGAATACGAAAGACCTGTTGACATTCTTGATTACTTTGAGCGCTAAGAAGTTTTTTATTTTGACCAAACCAGAGCGATGAGTACGTGGTAAGTATGCAGATATTTACGGTTAACTTTGTCCGCAGAGTTGTTGAGAAAGTATGGCGACGATTTGGTGCATAACTACTTTTCTTATTGTTATTCAGGTTCGCGACAAAGAAAACGAGTTTGAGGACTGGTTCGAGTCTGACGGGCAACGCGAGCTGAGGCAGATATTCCAAGGACAGGGCCAGATACATGACACCCTTAGGGAACTTAACAAAAAAGTTGATGAGGTATGTTACGCCTTTAAACGGTTCTTGTCGATGATAAAGCCTTTTAGGTTTATATTACACTTCATTTTTTTGGTTCGTATTGAAATGGCCAAAGAGAACTGCTAATCTCCATACTAGAGGTCGTAATTCTGAAAATGGTCAAAATTCCAACTTTTATATCTAGATGGCGCTGATCAATGGACTGGAAATAGTTTATACACTTCCGGACACATAATTCGAGCCACCACGCATTTTCAGGATTAAGTACCCAAAGCTTAAACTTGCAATTTTGAAACTAGTATACTAAACGTCTCTTCCATTAGTCCTTGTTGGGAATTTGGATTTGCAAAGCCGGGGGAAAACTTTTTCTTCGATGATAACACTATTTTCGTATTCTAGCCCTCTACAACAAAAATGCGAAGTGGCTCGAATTACGTGTCCGGGTACTCCCGGATATTATGCCAATGGCCGTGGGTCCCAACTAATTAATTGATATTATTTAATAATTCATTAAATTGGTAGCAGTAGAGCTCCTTGTGAAAGAGTTCGTCCAGGGAAGTACTGCCACCTTACCTATTTCTGCCGCCAAGCAATAATGTCAGCATTACTGTGTTCCGGTTAGTGCCCATCAGATCTTTGCGATTTAATACTCTGAGTGGCATTGGAACTGTTATGGATAGGCATGTCGCTTAGCATCTGACACACTTCGTCCCGTCACTGGGTATTAAAAAAAGAAAAAAATCCTCTTTAATATTAAATAGAAGTCAAACTTGTAATATTATTCAAATATTCACCATTAACTAAAAAGATTTTCTGAACTTTGAACAATGCGATTCGACCCCTCCTACGTAAAGAATCGTATGTTGAAATTGCCAAGATTACAGGGGAGCCTTTTGAGTTCTCAACTCACTGAAATAAGCATAACACGTTACTTTAGCATTATAAAATCCTAGATATCGGTTCGATGATCAATGCGAATAAAACGGACAACTTCAAAACGCTCCCCTGTAAACTTGACAATTTCGACGTACGATACTTTACGTAGGAGGGGTCGAGATGGCATTATGTGTTACAATCTAATTTATAAATTATTACTTACTAGTAGTAGCAGCTTGTCAATGTAAAACAAATTAGTTACAAAAATAGCTATCTGGTACTCGTGGCGACATCTGGTGTACCAATAGGTAACTCAACACTCGACTACGTTGTCTTGTACCGCGATTAGCAGTCGTCTTGAATTATTGGTCCCATGGAATTAAGCTTCGTCTTTTACATTAAGATTGCTGTTACAGGTTATAAGTTGATGTTTCTCCTTTTACGATGATGTAATGGTTTTTAGGTTGGCGTTACACCATGTCAATAAATTTTACGTATAAAATAAAAAAGAATATAATTAAGGCAAATATGAAGCTGTATTTCATTGTCTTGGGTATTAATGTTTGCTAAACAAATAATTTGCAGGTGATCGGCAAGCAGATGAACTCCCTGTCGATGCTGACGGCCGTGTACAGCTCAGCGCAGGGGCAGCCGCTGCAGCCCGGACAGGCGCCTGCGCAGGTTACTTTTTTTAACAATTAATAATTATTAAACAAAGATCAAACACTTGGAAAAAAATCACTTCGAACCAACGTCTCTATGCCAATGGAATGGACTAACGGACCTCACAAGGTTTTTAATGCGTTAACCATTTTTTTTGCCGTTTTTTACGGCTTGCCAGTGGAATAATGGCACAAAAAATAATTGATAACATGGTGGTGACATACATTGACATTCAATAAAAATTAACTAATATTACATATAATTTAATAAATAACTTGTTGCAAATAATCACAACTTGGCCAGGGTTCTTTTACTCAGAGGGTAGATATCATAATAACATCAATATTAACAATAAATTGATGAAATAGAACAATGTATTTACTTATTATACGGACTACAAAATATAAATATAAATTGCAATGGGGTCCACATATAACCAAGTTATTAAAATGGCTCAGCTCTGCAGTGTACGCGTTATAAAATAAAAGAAACTGTTAGATGGGTTTACTTCTGCTTTCACACTTTAATGACAAATATGTAGTATTGCCACCTTACCTATTTCTAATGTGACCATTACTGCGTTCCGGTTTTGAAGGATAAGGGTGCTGGTGAAATGACAGGCACAAGGGACTTGTCAACTTACGTCTCAGGGCGACGGGCACAGTGGCAGTGCCACTCAGATCTTTACAACTTAAAAATGAGTAGTAACTGTTACAGACAGGCGTGTCGCTAACCATCAGGCGCACGACTTGTTCGTCTCGTCACTTGATATTATAAAAAAAAAACTGGAATTTTACTTTGGGGTAAAGCCGCCAGTATTAATAGAATCTACCTACTACTCCAATTGAAATTCAAAAAGCAGTGTGAAGCAGGACTGTCTCAAGATATACTGGTTATTTCTGCGAATGTAAGGTATAATAATAACGCCCACACTCGACATAGCCCCGCACTAGGGAAACCCTGTGTCGCGGGTGCCATGAACACACACATAGACAACCACAAATGACGCCCAAACTCACGAGAGAAATAAATGTAGGTCATACAAATATTTGTACCGGCCCGGGAATCGAATTCAAGATCTCTGCGTGACAGGCCAGTATGGTAACCATTCTGCCATGTAGGCAGTGAAGTACAGGCTTTATTTATCAGTTATTGGTTAGTAGTCGGGCTGTTTTGATTATTGGCTAAAGACGAACTCGGCGGCCCAACGGCTTGCACTGTGAGCGCTGATTGAGTAGGTCCCGGGTTCGATTCCCGGTAGGGCCGATTCGGGAAATGTTTCCTGAATTGGTGCAGGTTTGGGAGTTTAACCACAAATTACACCCAAACTCACGAGAGAAATGGATGTAGGCCATACAAATAATTCTTCCGGGCCGGAAATCGAACCTGGGACCTCTGCGTAGTAGTCCGGCATGGTAACCGTTCGGCCACTGAGTCAGTCAACGCCTAAAAAGGAAGGCCAGTTTAAGTTGACACCTGACGTCGGACGCTCTAATGGATGAGTTCTGTTTTCAGATACCCGCTCTGCCCATCGGTCGCCACGATTGGGACGCGCTGATATCCAACAACCAGATCATGCTTAACACTATCGCCGAGCTCAAGTTAGTGTTTTTTGCCTATTTATTGTCAATCATACATTCATTGGCAACGGGAAGTGAGCGTGCCAACAGCTCCCGTACTGATCTGGAAACTAGAGAGGGTATTTATGAGTTCTTTCGTTTTCGCGATTGTTACACACAGGAAATAAAACATTTTTCCGGATTTAAATCAAATAAGCAGTTTGCGAGCACGTCATGGATAAAACTACACATTCAATGAAGGTTCACAAACCCCAGGTCCTTGCAAAAGAAGTCCGTTATCTACCCAGGATACTGCGAGAGGCCATTGAAATAAAAAAAACATCCTAATTTCAACAGGGAAGATGGTTTCTCCGTACCTACTGGGATCCAGTATTTCCTCTGATGAAAAATCCCAAACAGACATAAGACTGCAGTACTAATTAATATGTTTTAAATTATTCCATTTCTATTATTTAATTAATAATATATTGAACTTAATAAAAATTCATTCAATAAAATAATTTGTAAAACGTAATGTAGCGTAAATTGGAATGTTTCTTAGTAAAATTAAAAATAAGATATTTAATTAATAACTTTTGTAACTATAGTGAAAAAATAGGGTGGTTTGCATTAATACTAGACATAACTGGTTGAAGACTGTATCACCTCAGTCAACCGTGACTATGGGACCTGTAAAGGGCCCGAAATATACGCGATATAAATCCGGATAAATAGCTCTTAAAAAAAAAACAGTTGCATACCGTTTAGTTAAATTCGTAAGACAATAAGCAAGATTATAATGAGAAGCAATGTGTCGCGACGGCGTGCAAATCCAATCTGCCTGCACGTGGAGGCTTTTGGTCGGAACCGCTTTTAGTATCCTATTGCATTTACGTCAAATGAAGTAGGAAACGTGAAATGTAAAAAGTATAGATCGACAAATTATTTTTTTGTATGTTGCCGGCTATATGGGGATGTAACGGTACTGTAAGTGTACCCGGGGCGGCTCACCCGAGGCACTGGCCTCTTGAGAACCGGATGAAGTCAGAGATAACGCTCTGTGACAACCCTGTACATTGACTGATCTGGGGTCAGAACCTGAACTTAGAAGGTTCCAGTCCACGCACTGGTTATAATGCCTTCCCGTCATCAAGTATATTACCAGAAATATATAATAAAGATAATATCTGTAACTATGGGGAGCTGTTTCGGTGGTGCGGGAAAAACAGCAAAACATCTAATTGCAAAACAAACGGAATCACATTTCATTGGTAATTAAATAGTAGATATGTAATTTTGCAATTTTTGTCAATTATAGCAAAGCTGAAGTTAAACTGGTCGATTTGAAGGGAAACGACTTGACGACACCCGTCCATTGTTTCGAATTCGGGCTGGCCAATCGGAGCACATTTGTCACCGTAATCATTTGGCGGAATAGTTTTTAAACGAATTAAATGAAAGAAAGATATGGGGCTGTTAATCATTCATAGCCAAAGATCGGTATCCGTCAGGATGGCTGGACCAAACGAGACATATTTTCTACCTTTGCGCTAACGGAAATATTAAAGAAATAAAGTGGCCAGCCATTCTGACGTCAGGTTGGCTGGACCACTTTACTTTTTTCATGGTTCTAACAGTATATAATTTACTTTTTTTTATACAACTATTTACTATCTAATTTCAAAAGAAGGCATAGTTTTTAATAATTGACTGATACTGACGTCTTATATTGTAACAGCTCACTAAGATTTCTGAACACTGGATCACAGGGTGAAGGAAGGTTATTTATATCTAAAAAATACTTTTCGAACTTAGAAATCACACTTTTTTGTTCTTCTCACGGTAATGCTGATGACGGTAATGTCTACCTCTTTTCATCGTTAATGCGTTTATATTACTTGTTTATTACTATTTTTAATTATTAATGACATGAGAGCGGACTTTGCACAATTATTTTCACCATTGTGAATATTTTGGTAGTATCGAATATTTACTATCAAATGACAACTAAACGATTTATTAAATAACTGATTGTAATTCGTTCGTATTCCTTGATACCTACAAATGGAATTTACATTTGTAATAGTGAATTCAATTAGTAATTAATATAATAATTGTTATAAAATATAGCTTGCAAAGATAATCCAGAAACCATTGTTGGCATATTCTAAGCACCTGCAAAACTATTATTAGCAATTACACGGAGAAGATAAACTGTCTTTTTAGAAGATAACTTTTGCAAAGGCGTTTTATTATTTTTTTACATAACATTTTACAGAAACTTCTTAAAATAGTGAAATAGAAGTATGCTTAGGTAGAAATAAGGTAGTAAATAGTTACACAAAAAAAGTAAATTATATATTGCTAGAACCATGAAAAACGTAAAGTGGTCCAGCCATCCTGACGTCAGAATGACTTTATTTCTTTAATATTTCCGTATAATGAGCACAGTTTGATTTTTACATCTCGTTTTGGTCCAGCCATCCAGACGGACATAAAGATCGATATAGTTAGAATATATTTGCGATAAGTGTAAGTAATACATTTACAGAGTGGACACTACCTCCCTGTGTAATCCCTGAATCATTAAATCGTGCAAAATGGCCGTTCTTGTGTTGAATATTTTTCTCATTCAGTTAATTTTTCTTTCCTCCGCACAAAATTAATAAAATAAATAGCGTAAGCGCAGCTATAATGAATTACTGTGACGTCGTTATCCATTGTTATGTCGAATTAATGTTTTTTTGCTTTTCTTTTAGTCTGTACCTAAAATATTAATTTAATTATTGTTGCAGAGGCTTCATTATCGAAGTATCGCGGAAGTCCGACTCTATAATAGCGGGAGCCGGAGGCGCGGCGGCGCCGGGGGGAGGGGTGAACCCGCAGTTCCTTCAGGAGGTCAGGGAGGGCCTGCACCAGATTAAGCAGACCGTGGTTGGCGTTGCGCAGAGGTGAGTACGCAGGTCTAGTTAAGGTGAACATTAAAATTAATTTTCCAAGAATTTGTCAAATCATTTGAATATTAAGGCGAGTCATCAGACGAGAAGCGAGAAAAACTGTTCTACTAGATGAAATGGTTTAAGTATTTACTATTAAATATGTTACAAAAAATGTACGATACCCGTCTGAAGAATGTGCTAATTTGTTACACGATAGCATGTGCTATGTTCGATCATATAAAATCATATTATTTAAGATGAAACATGTGCCCTGCAGGATATCGTCGGGGCCGCAGCCCGCGGGCGAGCTGTCGTGTCCCGTGGTCTCCTGCGTGGGGCTCACCGGCCTGCTGCTGGCGCTGGCGACGCAGCTGGGGATCTTCTTGCTCTTCGCGCTTTACAGGTCATTATTGCCCCATTTATTTGTTCGGAAAAGCAAGTGGTAGGCTCTCTGCCTACCCCAAAGTAACGTGGTTGGTGTTTTTAAAAAAAAATGAGTTATCTTATTATTTTTATTGAATATCATGATGATATATTATATTATATATTATCAAGTGACGGGACAAACAAGTCGACACTTGGTGGTAAGCGACACGCCTGTCCATAACAGTTGCAGTGCCACTCAGAGCTTTAAATCGCAAAGATCTTAGGGGCATTGCCACAGCGCCCGTCACGCTGAGACATAAGTTGACAAGTCCATGTAGGTACCTGTAACCACCACCAGCAGTCACCAGCATCCTTAACCTTCAAAATCGGAACGCAGTAATGCTGACATTATTGCTTGGCAAAAAGAGGTAAGGTGGCAGTACTTCCCTGGACGAATTCTTTCACAAGGAACTCTACAGCTACGGAAATAACATCATGATATTCAATAAAAATCAATATTACAATTATTATTAACACAACGACATCTACGTCAGTTTTTGGTAAAGGTGCCGGTTTAGTAAGAAGCTTCATAAATCTCTCACAGGTGTCGTTTACGGCGATAAAAGCCGAAAAAACCAATACAAAAGATCTGTAACAAACGCTTTGCTCTTTTTTTTAACGCATACACTCGACATAGCCGCGCACTAGGGAAACCCTGTGTCGCGGGTGCCATAGACACACGCATAGACAAACACAAATTACACCCAAACTCACGAGAGAAATAAATGTAGGCCATACAAATATTTCTCTCGGCCTGGGACCTCTGCGTGACAGTCCAGCATGGGAACCGCTCGGCCACCGAGGCAGTTGGTAGAGCGGTGTGGCCCTGTGGTTTCTAGCCCCCCTGTCAGATCATAGGAATTTTTCTTTATGTTCCATCTTTGAAATATTAATAATATTATTCTTTTGTATTCTTTTATTACAGGGAAAGAAAAGAAGCTCAAGCCAAGAAGTTCTTCTGAGCGGGTGATGTGTTAAAAGTGGTAAAATGTGTTTTCGCCACCTCCTCCAACGCAAATGACTCTATAAAGGTTGTCACAAATGACTGGTTCTAGTTATTCAACAAAGTGTACAACAAAGTCGACAAGTTCAATTCAAAAAACAGCACTTATTTTCAACTTTTATTGGTTTTATTACACTTTCATGGCTTTCTTGAATAGCGGTCTATCTCAATGACACCAAATTCGATTTAAAAATGGTTTAATGCTTATCTCTGTCTTTCCAGAATGCAGTTGTGTAATAATTAAAACATAATAAACATAAATAAAATACATACAGAGTATAAATACCTCTCTCTTAAATGATTGAAAATCTTTAAATATACAATATAAAACAGTAACAAAAAAATACTTTGGTAGCGCAATGACCCAAAGCCAATCATGCGACACAGATACCACTGCCTAAAACAGCAGGTCTTTCTGGACCTAGGACGTTCGACCTGCTCGAAAATGCTCTCTTCGCCGCTTGATCTTCCATCGTTTCCACGTGTCCGAGCCTCTTTGCTTTAATTTCTCCCACAATATTAGGTGGTGGAGATCAGACCTTTAATTCTTTAATCTCCTTTAAAAAACAACACAACAATCTCAAAATTTCAGACGCAGGTATCCTTCACTTGCATTACTCAGAGTTAAGGTAAATATACTGTCTCCGATCTTTGTCCAGGGAAGTACTGCCACCTAACCTATTTCTGCCGCCAAGCAATAATGTGTACATTACAGAAGGGTGCTGGTGATATTACAGGCAGATGAGACTTGTCAACTTAGTCTCAGAGTGACAGGCTCAGTGGCAGTGTCCCTCAAAACTTTGCGTTTTAAAACTCCGGTTGGCACTGCAACTGTTATGAACAGGCGTGTCACTTAACACCAGGTGCACGACTTGTTCGTCCCGTGACTTTGTACCATAAAAATAAGTCTCTGGTAATAAAGCTAATTTAACTATTTTGGTTTAGACCACTATTCTTGAAAAGCAGCGGTTTGTGTAATAAACCGTGAAATTTAATTTGTAACGTTTTACGATAAAAACCTCTACAATGCGAGAAATATACCGGGGGGTGATTCATGTAATCAAACCGTTACGATACCGTAGCGATTTAGTCGTTGAACTGCTTTTTCGTATTCACGCGTGACAGTGAACGTCAACGAGTACAATTTTAAAGTCGTTCGATCCAAATGTCGTTAAAGCGTATTCTGGTATATGAACCGATCTTAAATCGACTCTAAACGACAAGTCATTCGTATTCTCATTGACTTACAAATAAATGGACGACGGGTCTAATACAAAAACCACGAAAAAAATGTCCCAAGTCAACCTATTTAAACGTAGTGACATTTCAAGGAATATGAAAAAGCTAAAACGTTGAATTTAAATTGTAATGTCATCGCAGTACTGTCTAATTTTGCTTTCGAACAAACGAAGACTAAAGCGTGAATGACGCTCTATATACGATTTTAACGCCCTGTAAGTTCGGACACTTTTTAGCGCGGACCTGACGTCCATATAATTGTAAGTCAATGCGTATTCTGCTAAAATTTTGACAGTTCTTTCTTCTTCTTCTTCTTCGTTTTGCTCAATGGCGGTTCTTTCTTTTTAAGATTTCGCCAGTGTCGAGTTTTCCGCTTAGCAGCATAAGTTTAAATATGTTTCTGCAAATATGGCCGCCACATAGAGGATAGGCAATTTGAGGCGGCGTGCTTGGATTGACTCGGGATTC